CCCCAAAACCCCAAAACCCCAAAACCCCGAAAGACTAGATTGATTAATTGAATACTATATTAAGAAATCAATATATCAATAATGCCTAAAAATAGTTTTCAAGTCATAAAGCATTAATATCTTGGAGATGACTCTTAAGTTAGATCAAGTCATAGTTAAACTCCTCTGGATTGTTCTTTTTAATAGTGATTTTGCTTTGAGTGTTCCTTATTATCTTCATCGCAGCCCAATCAATCTTCAAATTGGCATTGAAATCCATATGCTTAATAGATTCATTTTTTTCGAGAGCAGAAAGAATATCCTTAAGTCCATCATTACTGAAGTTGTTGTTACTCAGATCTAGAGATTTCATATTTCTGTTTGATAGCAGCATGTTGTAAATATTCTTGGCGCTTTAATCATCGATGAGAGTGTCCTTTATCTTAAATATCTATAAGCTCTTGTTCCTGCCTAGATTCTTAGATATGATGTCGATACCTTCATTTGAAATAGCGTTGTGTGAGAGATCTACTTCCTAAAGAATTCTGCTGTATTTTATAATTGAGTTAAAGATCTTCATAGATACATGAGTTATCTTGTTAGATCGAAAGTCTAGTGCTTTCAAAGAGAAGTTTTATGAAACACCAACACACAGCTCGCAGAAAGAGGTATCTTCTAGTTTATTGCCAGAGAGATTTAGTACTTCAAGTTTGCATAGAGAACTCGAAAGATAGTCTCTCATGGCTTTTATAGTCTCAAGGCCAACATTTGTATTTTTGAGATTAAGAAAAGTGAGGTTTGGTGAGTAATGGCTAAGAATATTGATTAAAACGAATCCACTATAATCTTTTATCAAGTTATCTGCAAGGTTAATGATCTAGACATTTTAGAAGTGCTTGAAATTATTGCAGAGATAATATATGTCATTTTTGTCTAGATTCATTTCTTTAAGAATAACTCTGAATTTACCTACATGGTTAATAGTTGGGCTAAAATGCAATTACACCATATTATTCTTACTTTTTATGCTAGTATTATTAGGCAACCATATCTGAGAGTTCCTGATTGGGCTTGGTCTTATTTTGAGCTAAGCTTCTATAGTAAAAGGATTTCTTCTCCATCTCTGATATATAGTCTTCAATACTGATTTAGCTCCTGAAATTAACTCTGAGTTGTCCCAGAATCCTGGTAGACTCCTCTGAATTTTCAGCTAACACTGCAAGATCTTTTGAGAATTTTTCAAATTCCAAGGTATTAATTTTATTAGCATTCTTAATTGTCCTTGCTTCGAAGTCTCCCATTTAGTCTTGAGTAATTTGAAATTCATCCAAATCTCCTTAATCAAGGGTATTAAGCTCGCTCTGATTTATTCTACCATCACCTTTTATTTTCTATGGACTTTTATTAATAATTGAGAAGCTCGACCCATCACCCCCTGCGAGTGTGTCCATATTTGTAGCTTATTTAGAAGTTCGAGTTCCAGTTCTCTTATTGAGACCTGTATCTCCATCATTTTAGAACATTAATTTTTATTGTTCAGAACTTGCTTTTGAAATAGGTGGGAGATATGAATTATGTTTATTATTCTTCATATCCTAGTGAATACCAAGGTATGCTTTAGTCTATCTCTAGATACTCATATAGTCTGTATCCATCTATTTTCTAGCTTCTTCTAATTTACTAAGAGTTTTGGAATTATTATACTTGAATAAACCGTTTTTAGTCTTGTCTAATTATCTCTTAGTCGTTTGATATAGCTTCTGATTCATTTCATTGTACCACTATTGATGGACTTCAGAAGATAATTTTTAAGCTTAAATTGGTAGATTTTTAGTCTTATTGTCTTCTTCAATCTTGATAATAATGTCTCTATACATTTCTTTTGTAATCTCTTTTAGAGCTCTTTTTTTATTCTTTTCATCTTAGTCGTAGAGCAATATCTAGAGTGTTTAAAATTTAATTAAGGTACTATTTTGGGATCGTTGGAGTAAAAATCATCATTTTCAGGCATTGATTGCTGGGTAGTAATTTTCTTATTTCCATTCTAACTATCCTTAGCATTTTTCCCAGTTGAAGCTCCTATGAAATCTTTGATTACATTATTCTTAGGTTTTGTAACTTCATGGAGGACTATATATCTATACACGTTAGTATAATCCAGTATTCTATCTTTCTGACCTACATCAGTTAAGCATATTATTATATACTTACTTCGTGACTTGACCAAGACTTCTTTCTTGTTGATTGGCAAATTTTTCTCTGCCTTTTAATAGTCTTCCAAGAATTTTTTCTCATCCAAGAAACTAAAGAGAGTCCCTACATACAGTTTATTTTGAGATTCAGAAGTCTTTATATTTGGATTGACTCCTGAAAATGTTGAAGCTTATGTTTCCATAAACTTATTGATGTTGTTCTCTCTTGACTAAACCTATTTTTGCTGATGAAACTTGGTAATTTCTGGTATAAATTTATTAAGCACTAGCTTAGAAAATACTCCTTCCATTTCTTTTACTCTTTTAATCTAATTAGCAATTCTTTATTTTACTAGCATTATCCTTGCGACATGGGGTTTTGGGGTTTTGGGG